GGGAAGTTCTGTATTGGCATCCGTTTAGAAAAGCTCAGCTTTAGGCTGAAATTCTTATGAGGCAGACCTCATGAGAGCATCAGGCCAAGGGTCAAGAGAGCCAGGTTCTCCTGCCACCACTGAGCTGCAGGAAGAGCCCTCATCCAGAACAACAGTGGGTGGCCCCTCACATCCCCGTCAGGCAGATCCATCATTGTCAGCAAGGTTGGCATCAGTTTTGCTGATAGGAGGATGGGTGAAGGAAATAAACCCACATAGGATGCTTAGCCTGGGACAGGCATTTGACGTCTATTATTTAATCATTCCAAAATCTCTATGAGATGGTTCTTGCCGAGGCCCAGAAAGGTTTAGTAATATGCCAACCCACACGTGTGCTTCAAACTTAAGCTCTACCTGTTTTCAGTCTGAATAGCGCCCTAGTCACCACACATACTGCAGCCACCAGCATTTGCTGCCTCCATATGTCTCTGTGGGATCTGATCATTGCATTACATAGTCTGCAGAATCTAACGTGCATCCAGTAAATTTCTCTGTTTAGAGGAGACCCATACGAACTGATTGATCCCGTGAGAAAATTGTCAACAAGCGTGTTTTACTTGGACAGCTAGTGGTGGCAATAAACTGTAGAATTATTGTAGGTTTCTGAAGTGTCCAAATGTAAAATAAAACGAAGGCACAGTAGAATGTGACACGTCACTGATAATGTCACTTTCTAGACACTACTCGAAACATCTGTTTACAAGTGTTTTGTAATTTTTGGGATGAATGATCAAAATGCAACTTAGCTGATCTAAACTCTTTAAAAGAACTATGTGATGACATCTGCCTTCTTCCTAATTAAAATACTCTCATTTTCCACTCTTGTAAATAGGTTTTCTTTGGAAAAGTGACCTTGAAAATTGCTATAAAGAATGAAAGAAAAAAATACTGGCACCCAGCATCTCATTATTGGAGTTTATCATGCTTTCTCCCAATCTTTACCTTTTTAGAAAGAAATATGAGTAAAATCAACAGAAAATGTATAATGTGC